ACTCCTCAGCGGCGGCTGCAGCTTTCCCTGCTCCTCAGGCAGCCAGCCACCGCCACCAGCGCCTGCCTCTGCTTCCTGCCCCCTCGTTCCGAACGCTGCCGGGGCCTGGCCAGCGCCTCGCCCCCAGAGCCCCGCTGCTGCCCGCTCGCTCTAACTTCGCACTCCTCCAAAAAGGAAGGTGGGGCTGGGAGAGAGAGTCTGCCGCCACCCAGCCCCTCTTTCCAACAAAAACCGCCGTAGAGCTAACCCTGCGCCATGGCTTCCCCCTCTTGGAAACTGTATCACCAGTGGCCATGATATCACCAGTGCCCTCTAACCTCCTCAGCCACTTTTGACACTTACTTTATTTCCAGTTGTGTGTTGACAGGGCCATGGTTATTACCCTTGTTATTTTAAATTAAAGCCTTGCCTAGCCAGCCCTAGTCACTACAGAGAGAGAGGGCCCAGTTGCAACGGTAACCTATAGCCTTATAAACAGGCATTGTTTTGAAAACACACCAGTACTATATGTCACCGCAGACATAACAAGCAGTCTCTATGGCTGCAAATGTTTGTTGTTGCAGCGTGCCATACTACTTCTGGCGATTGTTACTTTTCCTCTGAATGCCTCCCCGCATTTATATGTGATTTATTTTTTATTTTGTAGCACAAACAGAAATCCATAAACTGTCGGTTCAGCGCCATTGACTCTTTGATCAGTTACTGGGCTATTTTTTCCCTCTCCCGTCAGCGAAGAGAGATTAAAAGCCTTTATTTCCAGCACGTTTGTGCCGCAAAGGTACGCAACTGAATGAACAATAAAAAAATATACTAAAAATGTATCCTCTGTACTTTTTTATTTTGTAGCACAAACAGAAATCCATAAACTGTCGGTTCAGCGCCATTGACTCTTTGATCAGTTACTGGGCTATTTTTTCCCTCTCCCGTCAGCGAAGAGAGATTAAAAGCCTTTATTTCCAGCACGTTTGTGCCGCAAAGGTACGCAACTGAATGAACAATAAAAAAATATACTAAAAATGTATCCTCTGTACTAACTTATAGCTGCCTGTATCAGCCTCTTAATTAGACCGCTAGAGCGATTTCCGAAAACATTTAGCTCGTCTATACAAAGGAAATAAAACCACACTGTCAACTCAAGAGCGCTCCAGAGTTTAAAAGGGGCTTCTCTGTAACCTATTGAAATAATTACTGGAGGGTACACAACGCCTTCGTCTTTGTCAGAGTGACAGTAGTCTGCCTGTCAGATGTGTTTTTCTCTGAAAAGGAAATCACACTATTTTGCAACTGGAGACTCTTAAATCTAATCCTATTTTGTCAAGATAAGTAAAAACTTTTTAGGGAGGTGGGGAAGGAAGTTGAAAAAAATCCTAGAACTATGTGCCTTCCTGCTGGGGAAGGGAAAAATAAAACTCATGTGCTTTTAGCTTTGGGTGTTAAAAGTTAGCAAAACATATGTTGGAGAAGCTGTTCTCACACATGAGTGTAACACGCACCAGTTAAATTATATCTTAAAATGGCGTGTTTGTCAGTGGTTTAAATTTACATATCTGGAATCTGATGTTCAAACCACTGTAATTGCCCTCCCTCTCCCCTCCCTTCGTCAAATGTTTCTCCGGGAAAAAAAAAAGTTGAACGTTATCAAAAGCTAATAAATAGCTTTCTGTCTTTAATTGCTATGACTCAATTCTGATAGCATGTAGTTATCATCGGAAAAGTTGACCAAGACAGGTTAAATAATTTAATAAGGAACTGCTTGTAATTATGTTATTTACAAGGTATGACAGAGATTTGAAGAAGAAACAGAAGCTGATCTCAGGGAAATGGACGGGTTTGGGTGACCCCTGGAGCATGGAGTTTGAATTATGGAGATGGGGGGCTGAGAGGTGAATATGGACTAGAGGAGAACAAGATGACTTTTCACCTCAACACATTTAACTTTTAAATCCAAATAAACGTCTCAGCATTACTAGATCACGTTATAAAAGAAAAGGACAAATCGCATTCAATTTTAAGGTGTGGAGAAAGAAGTATTGACTTTGCTCATTTGGAAAAATGTATAAAATAAGTTCCAAACTGAAAGAAGTGCATTTAAAAATAAACTTTGGGCAACTCTCTGGCATTTTCTCTTTTAAATATCCATTGCTAAAATTAATTAGATTAAAATTTGGCTCAGAGGGCAAGGCATTTAATATTACATATATTACCTAGGGTAGTAACAATAAAACTGGTTTACTTTCTAAATATTTTCCAATCATGGAATTTGAATTAGCACCATATACAAACTAAAAGGAAAATAGATACAGTAGATCAATTTCCAGTACCATGCCCTCTGAAATGAGAGTAAAATACAAACTCAGCAACTTAAACTGTTACCAAAGCTTAAACTTTCTCACCTGTTTGGTCATTGAATCTATTAGACGAACGTACAAATCCTGTTCTGTTCTAACGCCTGGAAGGAAAAAACAGAGACAAATTCTTATTAGAATTACAGCAGTGAACC